CGGGGATTTGGTGCACCAGTGTAACAAAGCTACCTTTGAGGGCCATATTGTCCGCACCTCGTTGGAAGTTGTTTTCACTGCTTGTTCTTTTCTTCTTTACTGGGCAGGGGTACTGAAAGTTGAGGACAAAGAGGCGTTCCAGGCCGGCGTACAAAAGGTGGTGCAGGCTGCATCAATGCTGGCGGACCAACCGCGCAACAGATTGATGATTACTGATATGATACTACTGCCGTTCCGTGAAGTGCAAGGACGTGGACTCTCCTGGTTGCTGATTCTTCTCATACTTTGTTGCTCATAGAGGTTGGATACCTCCTGAATACTGCGAGTTTGTTTATGCCAATGTGGCTTTTGTGTCACATTGGTACTGCTCGGTCTCCGAATATGCCGTTGTGGCTTTTGTGTCCCATTGGTATTGTTCTGCTCCGAGACATGCAGTGTTAACAGGTTTTCACTCCGTGGTGCCTCGAGCTTGAGCATCCACAGCGGGGTTTCTATTAATGCTCCAACTCGCTCCTCTCCCTTACCCTCTCCTTTAGTCCAGTTGCTTTCAGTATGTTTTGCACTTTTCTGATGGTTGAACTCTATACTGTATATTTTCGTTAAAAAACTAAAGGAAAGGGGTGTGAGCCCGGTTGAAAAAAAAAGACCCAGTGTTTTCCTTTGGTCATTCTTTCCTAGGTGGGTCTGTCTAAAATCTGTAATAACTGGTGCTTACAGATTTCTCCTCCTCATCCCCTCTTCAGCCTTAGTACAAAAATCAACTGATTGATCACGGGTCTGTGCTTGTGCCAATGCTTGCGCCCCATCATGTGACTGACACCATGAGAACCCAGAAAAAGGTTGCACAACCGAGCCGACCTGACCACGTCTGATCTAATCCACCCATCCGCGGAGGGCACCACCATTGAGACGGTCACCCCATCCCATACGACGTTGTTAACGATCTCAAGGGTGGTTGCTAGCGCGCTTGTTTCCTGAGCAGAAGCTTAAGCCAGTTCTTAGTATCTATGCTTGTTCCGAATGTTTTGGTACCAAGCAATTCTCTTTTTGCTCCGCGGAGTGCGAACTTCTCTGTGGTTAACATTAAAGATTTCATGTGGTTGATTTCAGTCTCGTCGTGCACTCATGCTGCTGGATATATTTGCTTTTGGTAGATGGGGCAATTGTTTGTTCTACGAGATCCTTTTGAGAAGTTATAGATTTCACGAGCGATGGATTCCAACGTAATTCCTGTGTAAGGTAGCAGCTACGAGATGCATATCAAAGATCTACGTGAAAGGATAGCTTTGCTTTAACATCAAAAGAAAGCTGCAGCTCCTAAGCGGATAAAATGGCTAGAACACGTGCTCAAAATTTTCAACCACATAGATTTGGAGTATCGTCTGGCCTTGTTGTGGTTCAGATGTTTGCATATAGCAGATAATACTGGGTTTTTTCTATGCCACATATATTGGCGAATATATCGCATCTAAGTAGAGCGTAACTATATAAAACGGCCATGGAAAAAAATACGGAACTGGCTTGGTGTAAGTCGGACATCTAATTTGGTTTCGATGCAAAATTAGCGATCAGAATTCTTTCTTCAACCTTCAGCTCTTCTTTCAATTGTCGAAACCTGCACCACCCTCGCACCCCTAAGAGCATCTCCAACAGGCGCCCAAAAAGAGTTCCGCACGCTAAAAATTCGTTTTTTCGGGCGCCGAACAGCTCCAACAGATGCTGTAAAATATTACGCGCGCTACAAATTTTAGAGCACGCGCTGAAAAACGCTATCGCGCACTGCATATTTTAGGCTTCGAATTGCGCGTGCTTCACAATTTGCATTGCGTACGTTTTGGGCGCGCGTTTTTAGGCGTCTACTACAGTAGTGCGCTATAATTTTATTGGGCGCGAAATTTTTATGCGGCTGTTAGAGATGCTCTAGGATTAATAATGGGGTCACCTACCTCTCTAAGATAGACCAAGATGGCTTCTCGGAGCTCCTTCCTTTCACGTAAAATTTGACTCTCCTAAATGCAAAATTCAGGTGACTTAACACATAGCTAAAGTGCTAAAATACTTCGGTTCGAGTGCCTTGTGGAAAAGCTAGGTTGAACGCTTGTCACAAATCAAGTGTACTTCTCTTTTGGCGGACGGGGTGAAACCCCAACCTTTGGGAGGAAGGATGCCGTCTTGTTGGAGAGAAGTTGCCACGCCATGTGATGTGACCTCAAATCCGTGAAGCAATAACTCAGCCGTGGTGGCCATGATCCAACGTTTTTCTTTTCGTCGTTCTGTCCGATGTGTAGGTCTGTCTAAAACCTGCAATGCTTGGTGCTTACAGATCTCTCCCCTCATCCCCTCTTCAGCCTTGTACTAAAAACTTGTTATTGCGGTGTCAATGAACCCATCTGCGTTGACTCATACACCGATCTGATACTTACTCACCTAAGGCCAAATTCACCGCGCGATCCCAAACGGACGTCCGTTTTGTCCGGATTCTGTCCGTTTGGGTAGGGATTTGGGGTCGTGTCCGGGTCTGTCCTGGGATGCGGTGGCCGTGCGCCCAGCGCGCGGCCGCATCCATTTGCCCCATTCTGTCCGCGTATATTTCTTTGCAAGTCCTTAATTTTTTTTATCATTCATTTTTGGTACATGATAATACATCATTACATTTTGACTAGTAAAGCAAGGCCAAAAAAAACAAGAACCACAAGAATACATTTGAGAAGATACCTAACTTCCATAACTACTCCCTTGAGTTGGGTTAGCGCCTTCTCGATGCACTCATTGTTGATCTGTGGAGGAGGCACGACGTTGCACCCTCCTTTCTTCTTCAAGCCAGAAGTCGACGTTGCTTCCTCACACGAGTATCGTGCCTTGTTGCTTCTTCGCACGTAGTATCGTGCCTAGTCTCTAATCTAGCAACAAGTGCACTTGTCTCATCTAAAGCCTCTAGGCTATCTAAAAGTGCATGAACATGCAATACATTTCGCTCTATCAACATATCGATGTACTCTTCTTCCCAATACCAAAACTTGCATCCGTTCTACACAATAAAACTTAAAGTTAGCACCACTAGTCTAACCGAAGAGCACAAACCGAAGCTAAAAGAGCACATACCTCATCGTTGAAGCACTTGATGAACACCCATCCGGGATGCTCCGGCGTTGTAGACACGCGGAGCACGACCACCCTTGGGCAGTGGTCGCACTTGATGAGGGGCAACGGTGCGCCGACGAGCTTTTGGGCAAGCACCGAGCCCGGCCGGCCGCCATTCGCGTATCTGCCGGCGGGCCACCGACGGTGCAGATCCGAGCGGCTAGAGGACGAGCCACTGCCTGCATGTGGCCTTGCGGCCCTGCCAGGGCCTTCTGGCGAGGTTCCCGGTCAGTCCATGGCGCGGCCCGGCCTCCCACAGCCTGGCGAGCTCAAGACCGACCGTATCCGCCCCAAATCCGGCCGGCGGGTGCGCAAACAAGGTGGCCGTGCTTGGGTAGCTCGGCGGCGACGAGAGGAAGGGGCTGGGCAAGCGCGCGTCCGAGTTGCACGGCTGCAATGGCAGTGGGCGGCCGGCGGCGGCGAGGGGAAGAGAGGGGAAGAGTGGAGTGGATGCGGCCGGAGGGAGGGAGGGGGGCGGATAGAAAAAGGCCCGTCCTGTGCCACCGACAGGCGGGCCAGGGGAGGACACGCGCAGACGACCCGCGCGTCCGCGTGGTGTCCGTTTCACCCCAAAAACGGCGCAAACTTGGACCGTGGTTGGGTCGAAAGCGGACACAAAGCGGACAAAAGTCCGTTTGCGTTCGCGCGCTGGGCCGTCTCGTTTGTCCCTTTTATCCCAAACGGACGGAGACGGACCGGATAAGGTCGCGCCGTGGCCTAATGCAACATCAACATGCACCAGTTGCCAAGATCACACTGCTCACTTTACCTTCACGGGATCTGTGCCTGCGCCGCATCATGTGGCTGACACACCACGAGAATTCAGAAAAAAGATTACACAGCCGAGCCGAGACGACCGACCACGTCTGATCTAATCCACGCATCCGTGGACGAGAAAAATACTCCCTCGCCGCACACAAAAAATCGCCGGTAAACGAGACGCATTTTCCGCACACGGAAGCCGCAGGACATGGCGGGACGTACAGCGAGAGAGACCGCCGAAACCGGGCCGGGCCACGCGTCGCGCATCGGGGCCTCCTCCGAGCCCGACGTGGCCGCGCGCGCCGCCCGCGCCAACGCACACGTCGCCGTCCCACAACGACGCTTCGAGGCCGGTTCACGCGTCGCCGTCCATTCCCAGGCCCCGGCCCCCGCGCCCGCGCCGCACCACCTCACGTTGCCCTCACCGGCGGAGCACGCGCCACGTCCGTCCCCACCGCCACCTTTCCTCCCACTATTTAACCCCCCCGCCCGCCTCCGCCATTGTCAGCCCCACCCATTTCCTTCCCTTCGGTCGAGGCAGGCCGCAGCAATAAATCTAGG